CTAACTTTAGGCGTACACTATTCGAGACAATACCACATAAAACGTCAATTTAAACTTTGATCAAGATATTACTGATAGCTGTAAAAAATTGATCCAATTTAATTAATAATTCAATAGTGACATATTTAATTCACAGAAACCACCTAATAATGATCTTGATAGAACGAAACGTGCAGTGGATTGAAAGTAAATTAAACCGAATATTAAATATTTTAGTACAGGTTTGTAATCAGTTGTGTTGACTGCACCTAAGTATGTTTTTGTTACATGATACACAACAGAATGCAGAAAATAAGATAAATGAAGATTAAAGTTCACGTATGAGTTGCCAAAGAGACTGTCCCAACTTTTATGTAACCCTCTTACCTAGTTTCTAGGAACATTGACTGCGCCTTTCAGCCTTTCAAATACAGTTCTTTCGCTGGTTTCATCTGTTCCCTTTATGTTCCGGGACTAAGCCGGGTTTAGCACTGCGAAGTGACCTGTGTTCATAGTTGTTTCCGCAGCTATACAATGCATATTCATAAGCGATCAGTATCCGCGGCCCTGTAGTTGCTTCAAAGCAATTTAAAGCAGCTGGTACATGCCTCTTGGTGTAGGACGACGCAGTGTTGGACACAGCACGTGACGTGATACTTTCCAAACCCACCATGCGAGAGTGAATCATATTCAGAGCTTTTAAAGGGAAACATAGGGAACCTCTGAGTTGTGTCTTATATGACAGAATTATTTATACACTTCATTCCAGGGCTCACAAAATATATAGCTCCTTTCATGTTTATATAATTATATAGGATTATGTCCAACGGCAACATTCATGCGAAGATATATCTTTTGTGTGTTTTCTGTCTCTGGGTTGTAATGTAGCTATATATGTTCTATGAAATGATAGTAAAAGTAATACTTTTACTCATGTATCGGAGGAAAGCTTTAGATTTTTCTTTAGTAATAAAATAGAGTTTCTTTTCCATACTCCCTTTTGCTACTCGCTACATGTAGCAGGTTCCCTTTCCTGTAACAACTTCTTACTTACAGGCGCAGTACACTCCGAAAGATCGGTGGAAATTCTAGTTTTACAAATGTGATTCACACATCCACCTGATCCTATGATCATTATATCGTAATAACAAGCTGATATGTAATACGAAATGTGTTATTTAACATATTAATTTTATTAAACACTCCATTTGCTGCAAAACATCATATTTTTATTGCCATAAAATATAAATGGCAATTTTGTGAACCGGTCAATTGGACAAGTGCTTAAAAGCAAAGAATGGAAAACTGTTCCCTGCATGTTCAACTACAATGCTATTAGCAATTATGAGAAAATTGAACTGAAACTGCAGAAGAGTTTCAGTTTGTGTCAAAGGGTAAATAATATTCCTGATCACCTAAGAATTCTGTGTCTGTAATTATATGCAGGGGTTAGAATTTTCTTACCTTTCAGCAAGTCTTTCATAAACGTTTGGCACGTGAACATCTTATTTCCGAGACGCAGATGATTGGAGAAAAAGCCAGATGTTTAAAAACAAAAAAAAAACTCCGTGGTTTTAGTCCTCAAGCGAATTATACCGACCGAGCGACCGCCGCTTGTCGGCGAAGTTAGTGTCAACTGTGTCGCGTGGTCAGCGCAATGGATCCCCACGGCCGTTAATCTCCGTTTTCTAGACCGGAAAATTTACACGGACCATAAATACAATTATTATCGTACATTTTTCTTATTAAATGTCTTCTACCGAGTATAAACGAAGTATGTTAGAAGTGAAGTTAGATTTGCGGCCACTTTTAACAACCCTAATTTCGGGGATGTTACGCCACGTACTTCGGCTCCTCGTTGCATGAGGCATGTTATCTGATTGGCTTACTCTTCGGCCTTGAAGATGAAGTTCCTTCGAAATGTCAGCTAGTTCCTATCACTGATTATGACCTCCGTGAATGAGTTTTAAAGCAATGGGCATGTCTTCAAATACGACGAAACTGTTTGTGTCAGTATTCTAGCCTGACGATTAATAATACTCGTATTTCCCTCATTAGGAACGAAAATAATTTATGTAATAAATGTCTTTCTTGCGATTTATCAGTTCCAATTGTTTTTATGGGAATTTGCTTGAATTTATGAAACGTAACTCAATTAAGAAAAAGTACAGTAAACTTCCTAATACCTAGGATGGACGGGAAATATATTTCCTCGGA